AAGGGGATTGCATGACACGATTGGTTGAAATAATCGTCTCAATGAAAAATTTGTCTTTCTAGAAAAAATTTCTTATAGCATACATGGTAGTTCTAGATTGACTGATTCTATCATTAAGAGCTAAAAAAAAATATTTTAAAAGTGTTTTTTTGTTGAGACACGTTTTTTCAGAATCCAGCGAACTGTTGAAAGTAACCACAGGTTTATTCTTTAACGTGATCATAGCAAGTTATGAAATTCATGGAGAATGAAGAGAAGAGACACGTTGATACTCACCCTAGTACTATTACCTAATTAGTATTCATTTTGAGAAATTACTGGGTGTGTGCATACACAGTTTGAAATAGAACAATTTTGAACGCAATAAAATCATGTGTAGAACTCGCTGCTAGTAGCACCAAACCCATTGTCGGTTGAATTTTTCTGCAACAGACACAATTTTAGGGCCTGTATATGTAACTACTGTAGAATACTTTATTTTCACTTGAAATTTATTTTCGCTATTTTCGCTTAAGGGATGATTCCGTGAAAATAAAATCCAGCGAATATGCTTTTTTTCCTATATTTCACATTAAACTCATCAAAAATCAGTGAAAATAAATTCCATACAAAATGCCCAAAAAACCTTTCCAGCGAAAATTAATTCCAGCGAAAATAAAGTATTCCACAGTATGTAATGTTTCTAACTTTTGTTGAGGATTATTTGTGTGCAGAAGTCACTGAAATGATTCCAGCTATTCGTAAAGGGGACGTTGTTGATTTGACAGTGGCCTACGGATGACTGTTTTCGAAACGTTCCATCCTGATCGAACAGCACCCCCTCGTGCCAATACCTCCTGCCTTCTGTAGTACATGAATCAGATAATCTTGACATTTGATTGGCTCAGAAGAGATTGACTTACCCAATCATATTGAAGCATCAGTCTCCAAAGAACTTAATGTTCTAATTTAGCTTTTGAAATTTGATTGGCTCAGAGAAAATTGACTTACCCAATCATAATGAAGTGTCATTCTCTAAACAACAACTTAGTAACTAATTTAGCTTCTGAAATTTAATTGGCTCAGAGAAGATTGACTAACCCAATCATATTGAAGCATCAGTCCCCAAAGAACTTAATATTCTAATTTAGCTTTTGAAATTTAATTGGCTCAGAGAAAATTGACTTACCCAATCATAATGAAGCGTCAGTCCCACAGCAACAATCAAATATTCATATTTTATTTCATCTCCATTTTTAGTTAGAATTAAATTATTTTCAGGTTGGAATTCTTGCACCTTGTCTTTCAGCCAGTCAGCCTTATTGGAAATGACTTCGCTGGAAGGTTTGCACGAGTTCTCAATTTTTTTGAGGCCAGCACCAACTAGAGTCCAGTACGGTTGGTAGTAATGTGTCTGCGAAAAAAGACGAGTGATTGCATTAACACAGCTCTGAAGAATTATTGAGTAATTTTAAAATACAAAAGGTAGCTCGACCCGTTCGCAAACTTCTTAAATAGATAAAATAAAAACCAACGTTTTGAAGATGTTAGGATCATCTTCTTCAGGGTAACAGTTAAAAGAAATAAAATAACCAAAAATAGCCGTTGAAACTAGTAACTATAACTGATAACAACTGGAAAGCTGATTGGATAAAGAAAAGGGCAGGGAAAAAGAAGAGAGAAAACCAACATGTACATCCAAATGCAAACTGTGATTGAATGAGTAAAATGAAAGAGGACTGCCTAACATAGTGGTGGAATAGAGGAAAGGGCTCCCTAAGTGTGGTAATAAAAAATGTGCATAAAAAATGAGGGAAAAGATGAATAAAAAATAAAATACCAGTCTTTTCTATCCTCATCAACAGAGGGCGCTGTGCAGTGGTTTTCTTCCTATCATGATAGCATTATGGCAATTTAATTTAATAATCCACTAACGAACACAAGCACCTGCAGACCTTAATTAAGGTTCCCTCAAAATCGCATTCGTTAGTGAATGAATCTTGGCCTGAGAATTTAACTTTCACATACACACTGTAGTCTGCACCGCAGTCACCAAGTGTAGACCTTAATTTATTTTCAGTCCAGATAAAATCTGAACTTTTTAAAATTTATCGATCACGAGTCTGATGCAGCATTAGGAACAATGTAAATGTTGCATAAAAAAACTTACCGGTAATTTCTTTAATTTGGAGGGTTTAAAAATTAATATCTGAGAAAGAGAATTTGTGAGTTTTTTTATAGTAAACTCAGCTTTTAAAGATCTAAGCTATAAAATTATCAAGTTGTAGATATTTTAAAACAAAAATAGTTTATTTTAAAATTTGACATGCACCAGCAACTGATTAAACCAATTATGAAATACGTTTATTATAATAAAAAACGTGGTGTTGCACAATTCTTGAGAATTAGGTAAAATTTATGCTAATCAACAATATCATAGATTTAAGGTTTTAGGGCGATTGTGTTGCCAAAAACAAGCCATGCATGGCACAGTCCCCGTTAGTTATCAAATTTAAGATATATAGTTTTGTTATAGTAATATAGCTGGAATATAACCATGTCAGGAATATGATTTTTTAACATTAAAATGATTGACATTTGTATCTGATCGTCAAACAAGTACTTGTCCATATTGAGAGATATTGCTATGGAACAGCATTTAAAATCAGCCATTTTGAATACATGTATATATATAACATGATGTACAACGAATATATAAAATTTGAATATATAACAAGCAGCCAGTCGGCTGAGATAGCTCCGCTGTTAGCAATGCACATTTCAATTAAAGAACAAGAGATATCATTAGAAAATAAACAATATGTATAGTATCAAAGCAATGGGACTTGCTGTTTTCAACAAGAATTTAAAAATATCACTTTTCACCAAAAATGACAAAAACAATCATCAAAATTAGATAATTGAAGATATCACCACGAAATTAACAAATCTGAAAGAGGTCCACATGTAGTACCTATATGTGTAGTATCAAAGCAATTGGACTTGCAGTTTTTAACAAGAAGTCGAAAATATCACTTTTTACCAAAAATGACAAAAATGTTCACCAA